GCTGTCCAAGTAAAACATAGAAAAATTATCTCCGGCAACGCTCAGTTTACGTTTTTAACGCGAAAAATTACTACGATGTCTTCGCTCGACAGTAATGAACCAAGTAACTAGAGCGTGGGCCATTGCTGGCAATTAATCTAATTTAATTACGTAATTACTTGCCATTATGAAAGATTTATTTGGTCTGGCAACGGTGTAGGATCTACCATTGCGTTTTTCTAATCAAGAATCGATGAATTATTGAGTTATTTACATGAAACTTTGCTCACTCAACAGGTGAATCGTGTAACAGGATTTGCAAAGGGATGAAGGAGAGGAAATTCTTGATTTAAACCATCTGATACAGCCGATACAGCGATGCTTTATCATCTTTGTTGTTTTGCTTAAAATTTACAATCAAATTTTGCTATATTTGTTCGTTTTTTTTTCCCGATATTTGCATGCTTTGAACATTTTCTCACTTCTCAGGGTTTCCATAAAGCTTCTTGAAACTTTTCTGGAAGAAACCATCATTTTTAATTTTTGCATAGAAATTTCTATTCTTTCTTTGTATTTCCTCCGGTTCCTTGGATTTCTCCGCATCATTTCCCACGATTTCGTTAGAATTTCCGTCAACGTTCACAAATTGAGCTTTTTCGTACTTCCTCCGATTTCCACAAGCTTCCTTATTAATTCCTCATACTATTTCAGATTTCTATAAACTTTCTTAGACTTTTTCAGTAGAATTTCTCTGTCTTCTCTTGGGTGAAAGAATTTCTCTATTTTTGCAAAGAAGTAAAGGTGAAAAGTTCACAGATGGTTCTCTGGGTAAAACAACTTCCTTAATTTTGCGAAAAAGGTCTTGTTATGTTTAGTCAATATTTTCCGTCCTTTCTTTGAACTTCTTGCGATTTCCCTAATAATTCTTGAAACTTCCTTAGATTTCTCCAAACTCTCCCTGACTTCTATAAAATTTCCTCCTAATACCAAAAATTCTTCATTCTGATTTTCACAGCTTTTCTGAATAGATACTTCTTTCATTCCTTCTTGAATTTAGGTTGAAACTTCCTATATGGTTTTCCAGAAAAACCATGTGTCTAATTTTGCATAGTTTTTTATACAACGCAGACAAATATTCCCATACTTCCTTCAAACTTCCTTCAACTCCTTCTTAGAAGTTCCTCAATAATTCCCCGTACTTCGTCGAATCTCACTAAACTTCTCTGTATTTGCACGAATGAAAACTTCACAAATGGTTGGGAAAAACCAATTCTCCAGTTTTGCATAGAAATGTCTGCTGCCATTTAATCAACAGTTTCCAAACTTCCTTTGTCTTCCCTTGGGTGAAAGAACTTCGCTATTTTCGCAAAGAAGGTAGTCAATATTTTTTGTCCTTCCTTCAAGCTCCTTGCGATTTCCCTAATAATTCTTCAAACTTTCTAAGATTTCTTCAAACTGTCGCTGACTGCCTGGGGAAGATAAAAACTTCACAGGGTTTTTTTGGGAGAAACCACTTCCTAATTTTGCATGGAAATTTCCGTTCTTCCTTTGAATTTCCCTCGATTTTCTCAATAACTTTCGTCAATTTCTTGGATTTCTCCAAACTTCTTTCGATTTCGTTAAAATTTCCTTCAACGATTAGTTTGCTTATAAATTCCCCATGCGTTCTCAGGTTTCTACAAATTTCTGTAGACTTCTTCATTAGAATTTCTCTGTATTCACTTGGGTAGAGGTGCAAAGTTCACAGATGGTTCTCTGGGTAAAACAACTTTCCTAGTTTTGCAAAGAAGTTTTTGCTATGTTTAGTCAATATTTTTCATTATTCTTTTGAACTTCTTGCGATTTTCCTAATAATTCTTCAAACTTCCTTAAATGACCCTGCCCAAAGTATACGGAAATTGTGTTTATTATGTCAGAATTGGCTGAATTTTGTATGTAATGTAGATCACGCCTTTCTGATTAAAAGTAACCATTGCACCAATCCTGAAAAACTACTATACGTAGCACGCCACTGCGCCACAAGCTTACCTATTTGTTTTACGTTGTATGTACTTGAACAATAACTTATTATATAAAGTCAGAATTTGTAAGATTATCCACTTTTTGTCAATTGGCCTTTTAACAGGAATTAGTAATATTACTTTACTAAACTAGTAACATGTGACAAGTTATATTCAAGTACAAACGAGTGGATTGTTGCGGAATTTATGGGTGGACCTCTGCGGGACGAGCGCAGCGAGTTCCGCAGTCATCTATTCATTAATACCTACGTTGTTCAAGTACGATACTAACCTGACTCACTCAGTTGTCAGTTATTCTCATGAGTTCAAAAACTACAAGTTTCAGGTGAGTGTCTTATTTGAATAGTTCAACAGTATATTGGTGAGTAGATGGCTGCGGAATGAGCGCAGCGAGTTCCGCAGAGGTCCACCCATAAGTTCCGCAATAATCCATTTATTTGTACTTGAACAAAAAATTATTATATAAAGTCATATTTTGTAAGATTATGATTATTCACTTTTTGTCAATTGGCCTTTTAACAGGAATTAGTAATATTACTTCACCAAACTAGTAACCTAATGTGACAAGTTATTCAAGTACAAATGAGTGAATTGTTGTGGAACTTATAGGTGGACCTCTGCGGGACGAGCGCAGCGAGTTCCGCAGCCATCTATTCATCAACATGTTGTTTGATTACAATGCTAAACTGACTCACTCAAATGTGCGTTATTCTCATTAGTTTAAAAATTACACGTTTCAGGTGTATGTCTTACTTGAACAGTTTAACAGTATATTGGTGATTAGATGGCTGCGGTCCACCCATAAGTTTCGCAACAATCCACTTATTTGTACTTGAACAATAACTTATAGTATAAAGTCAGAATTTGTAAGATTATCCACTTTTTGTCAATTTCCCTTTTAACAGGAATTAGTAATGTTAATTTACCAAACTAGTAATATATTGTGACAAGTTATGAAGTTATTCAAGTACAAACGAGTGTATTGTTGCGGAACTTATGGGTGGACCCAGCCATCTATTCACCAATATGTTGTTCAAGTACAACCTGATTCAGTCAGTTGTGAATTTTTCTCATTAGTTCAAAAACTACATGTATCAGATGAGTGTCTTATTTGAACAGTTCAACAGTATATTGGTGAGTGGATGGCTGCGGAACTCGCTGCGCTCGTCCCGCAGAGGTCCACCCATAAGTTCCGCAATAATCCACTTATTTGTATGTACGTTCATTACAATGTCCAAGCGTTTTACTTTGCTACCTATGAAATTAATTTTCTCATAAAGGAATCAGTTTTTAGGATTGGTGCAATGGTAACTTTTAATCAGGAAGGCGTAATCTACATTATATACAAAATTCAGCCAATTCTGACATAAACACAATCTCCGTATAGTTTGGGCAGGGTCTTTTTTCTAAACTCTCCCTGATTTCTTCAAGATTTCCTCCCCTACCAAAAATTCTTCTTTCTGATCTTCACAGCCTTTCTGAATAGGTACCTCTTTCATTCCTTCTTGAGTTCAGGTTGAAACTTCCTACATGGTTTTCCGGAAAAACCATGTGTCTAATTTTGCATAGTTTCCTTATACAACACAGACAGATATTCCCGTACTTACTTTAAACTTTCTTGTATTTGCACGAACTTTTTTGCAAACATCACAAATGATTGGGAGAAACAAATTCTCTAATTTTGCATAGAAATGTCTGCAACAGTTTCCGAAGTTCCTTTGAGTTTCCTGCGTTTTCCTTAATAATTTCTCTCACTTCTTTGGATATCCCCACACTTTCTCGGATTTCCTTGCAACTTCCTTCAACTTACTAACTTACATAAATTAGACTTTCTTGTACTTCCTTGGATTTCTACAAACTGCCTTGAGACTTTTTCTGTAGGTACTTGTTGGGGAGGAATAAAAACTTTACCGATTGTTTTCTGGGGAAAAACACTTTTTTTGCATAGAGAATCCTAAAACTTGATCAGTATTTTTCGTACTTCCTTTGACCTTTCTGCGATCATTGATATAAATGCCCATATTTCCTTAGATTTTTCCAATAGTAATCGCACATCCTTAAAATTTCCTCCAACTTTCCTTGAACTTCTTCAGATTTTCATCAACTTCTTGGAGACCTGCTTCAATGTTTCCACATTTTCTTAATTGGAGGAAACTTCTTGAGAAAACACTTCTCTGATTTTGCATAGAGAATTTGATCTCATAAACTTCCTCCGAATTCTGCGAACTTTAATATTTGTTCCTCGGAATTATCCAAACTCCCGCAGATTTTTCCAGTACTTTCTTTTGCATTAATTTCAACTTTCTTCTCGTACTCTTTAGAGTTTCTACAAACTTTCTGAAGATTTCCAGTGATTTAAATTTCTAAGTAGAGGTAGTAACTCTTCTAATTTTGCAGATCTCTATTCTCAAATTCTGTTGATAACTCCCCTTATATTTCATGTGCATTATTTATTACTTATTGACTTATTCATGTTAGGCTTATAAAACGGTTTTCTCAACTTCTTGTTGGTTGAATGTCTACACGATCTAGAGCAACGACTTAAGTTTTAATGCCAGAACTAATCAGAATTATGCCTTTACGTAAAACGGTAAAAACGCAGTACCTACCACGATGAAAATACCAATCGTGACGTCTTAAATTATTGCAATGCACAACCTTGATTGGATATTTACTATAAAAACTTCAATTTAGTCTAAACAAGAGAAAGTAAAATTGATTTATCAACTAGATCGACATCAGCATCAACAAAAACCCAAATCAAATGGTCGACTGTTTATATATGAAAGTCTCGCGACAACAACATGAAAAAAACCAGTCGGAGATTTTACTTTTTAATACCAAATGTGTGACCGATTTTCGGCATACATAACGAGCGAGACCACTTTCTTCGTATTAATTTACAAACTGATTGGGAGGCGTTGGAAAAACAATCATAATTTCAGGCCAATAGGTTGCAAAAAAGCCAAGGCAATTTGTTTATCAAGGGCTAGTAAAGTTATGGGATGGATTTTTGAAGTTGTATGTCCCTGTGAACACTTCAGGGAAGCGACACTGTTGTCAGCTGACTTCCAACCTGATTTAAATGAAGAAACTTTGTTAGACTTTTACAAGAAACTCGATGAATATTATGACACTCTGACTTGGATGAGAGTGACAACCTGGTTAAATGTCAAAGTATCAAAAGTCACCAGAAGGACTGGCAGATGGAAATCAGTACTACCTTACATTGACTCAAATCACTGGTAAAAATCTAGTATAAAGACAACTATTTCTTCGACGTAGATTATGTCTCGATGTCAAATTAAACAAAAAGCTCTATCGATTTTCTAATTTCCTGGACCAGCGTTTCGCAAACAAAACCAAAAGTTTAAGCCCTCTAAAAGCCAATATTGGCACGTACAAACACTTTTGGCTTAAGTGTCGTATTCGCTCCGGCTCCATCGCTGTATGTGACACTTAATTAATTGAGAAAACCTGCTGCGGTTAGTCGAGTCCGGCGAAATGGTCAAGCTAGATTGTAGAACCGAATATTTAATATTAATTGTGTGTATAATTAATTGGCTGTCGATTTTATCCATAACGAGTGGGATGTAAACAATTTTAACCTTCAAATATTTTACTCTAACTAAGGTTTTATTCCAACTCTAGAATTAAGGAAACGTAGGATTATTCCCAATACAATAATAGCGAGAACGCTCGTGAAATCCCCACGATTAAAGGGTGTATAAGCGGGGAGAAAGCATAAACTAGCTTAAGCCTCGACTAAATTATATTTAACCCTGTATTAAGTTGTTGGACGGGATCTTGGAAGGGAGTTTCGGATGGGTGATTAGTAGATAATTACTCGGGAAATTAGCTAGTTTAGTTTCCTTTTATTTATACCCGCATTTCATATTGTCTTGTTCATTCAGATTGGTATTCGCTGAAAAGCAGCTGGAGCATTTTTAAGTCCAAATGGCATTAGTAGCTCAATCTGCATTTTATCACAGGGCCTTTTCCTGCCTAATTTCAAAAGTAGGTAACAATTAAGAATCTGAATCGCTGCATCATTCCAGAAGGAAAAAATAATAACACGAACACATGAAAAACAAAATACCTACTAAACGACACAAAAATAAATAAACAAGAAAAAGAAATGAATGTGATCAAAGTCTAATGAACTCCTCTAGGCATGCAGTATTGAAACTATGTTAGCAATTCTCTTTGGTCGATACACAAAAACAAAATTCCCCATCAGCAGCCGATATAATGGAGATATTTTCGCTAATTATCCCCAGCGACTTCGCAAATATTTGCACGAATCTGCGCCGTATTGCAATGCCGCTGGACATATATTTGCATATACACGGCAAATAAAAGTCAAAAAGGTTAAGCTTAAAAGTCAAACGACCTGTTTACCATCATATGCGGGAGAGTATATAGTTGAATGTTGCTTTTTTGATATGAAATACAAGAGTCATTGATGATAAACCAATTTCTCTCGAGCCATTGAAGAATTCTGAAGTAGAAACCAAGATCCTTATGAATAAATCAACATTAGAATATAATCGTGTAACGCACCATTAGAGAGATTATTGTTTAGTAGTTTTCTAATATAACTTTTGCCAACATCTGGTTAATACAAGATTGTTTGAACAATAGACACATTATAGGAAGTTTCAAGTTGTAAATTCCCTATAATCCAAAACGTAAATCAACAAAACTGCATCTCTGGGTACCTTCATTGAAGAATGAAATGTTGTGACAAGAAACCGCCACGGGCAGTAGGTCAGCAAGAACACAAAACGTTCTCCAGGAGCCCCAGCGGCGTGACTTTTACTTCTCGATTTACCGAAAACCGATTTGTATGTTGGCGCTTTTTTTTTCCAGATACTCGAGAATTTGAAAAAAATATTGGTTATAGATTTTGATTTGAAAGTATGTGCTGTAATGATGTGGTTGAATAATGCTTGTCATTTCAGTGGTAACGGATAGCTGTACTTTTTGATGGTTGATTGAATAATAAGAAGGAATATTTCATTAATTCGAGTATTAAGTTTTTTCCTTTTATAATTAGCTTTGTATGATGTTCTCTCTGCAGAATTCTTTATCGTAGGTTGGTTGGAATTACTAGACCTTGATTGATGATTTCACACATTTCATTGATTGCTAGAGAATGTCAGGTAAAGCTGTAGAGTTTTTTCAAATGCTAAAGACTATGTTGTTTTGAACAAAACAAAATTTGATTGAAAAGTCTTACATTTTCGATGTGATGACAGCAATTTGGGAAATTTTCAAGGAGATTCAACTTTACGATTCCCTACATACCTACCAGAAAAGAAAGATACTGCTCAAAGAATAAACAGAACTCTAATTATTGAAAAAACAAAAAGTTTGCTGTTAAATGCATCAATGGAAAACTTGAAATTATTGATGAGTTCCTTATCTCCATCTACCAAAGTGCTAGATAATGGAAAATTCAACAGACAGGCAAAGGAATATTACATCTTCTAAAGAATACAGATTATAGTGTTCTAAAGCAAAGAAAATGCATAGATATCATGATTTTCTTATGATTTAGTTTTTGGAAAATTTTGAAAGGTCATAACTTTTTTTTTGTTATAAATAGAAAGCTGAAATTTTCAGCGATTCTTATCCCAGCAGAGGACTACAATCTCTGAAAATTTCAGCTCATTTAAACTCATAGCTCCTCAGATAAAATCGTGGAAAGCAATTTAGGGAGATTTATCAATTTTTCAATTTTTCTGAGTGTCTTTTTTCATAGAATTCGGTTATAAATCTCAGAATAATTTAGTATATGGAGTTTCGGGGATCCCAAAGGACCATTAGGACACAAAATTACAAAATCTCAACAAAAAAAAATTGAAATTTCATCGTTTTGGTAAGAAGGTAGCTACCTTATGATTTAGATTTTGGATAAGTTTGAAAGGTCATAACTTTTTTCTTTTATAGATAGAAAACTGAAATTTTCAGCGATTCTTATCTCAGTAGAGGACTACAATCCCTGGAAATTTCAGCTCATTTGGACTCATAGCTCCTGAGATAAAATTATGTTAAGCAATTTGGGTCGATTTATCAATTTTTCAATTTTTCTGAGTACCTTTTTCCATAGAATCCGGTTATAAATCTCAGAATAATATAGTATATGGAGTTTGGGGGTCTCAAAGGACCATTTAGACACAAATCCTAACAAAAAAAATAATTGAAATTTCATCATTTTAGTAAGAAGGTTTATGATTTGGATTTTGGAAAACTTTGAAAGGTCATACATTTTTCTCTATTATAGATAGATATCTTTTGACACGTGATTAATAATTGCTTTATCAACATTGTGTTTATTATTTTTTTTTAAATCGAAAGGGTTCCAGGGCACTTATGGCTCTTATGGGTTGAAAATATGAAAAAAATTGCTTCAAATTCCACAGTCATCTTTTGACAGGTGATTAATATGTTTTCTATCAACATTGTGTCTATTTTTTTTCAAAATCGGTTCTTCAGAAATCCAAGAGTTTGATTTGAAGTAAAAACTGAAAACGAAAAAAACTTATTGTTAGAAGAGTAGAAGAATATGTTAAGGATATGGAGCAGGTAGGTACAGAACAAGTAAAATCTGAAGAAGATGAAGACAGGGCCGGCTCCAGGACCCGTGTAGCCTGTGCCCCTGCACGGGACGGCAAAATCATAGGGCGGCAAAAATCTCGGGGATAATTGTTGGATAAAAAAACCACACTACAAATTACAATAGCTTCATGATTTATTTTATCAATTTTCGTGTTCGCCTGCTCTGTAAAGAAATAAAATAAAACATGTTCGGGTTTTTTCAAACTCTGATCAATTAGGCTCTCCAAACCACGTGATTTTTCAATATGGCGACCGTGGAAAATTTGACGTTTGTTTGTTTATCTTGAGTTTATTTGGAATATTTTCAAGCTAATTACAGTTTACTTTGTTATAATATACTTTTTGAGATGCAGAGTGAATATTTAAAGACTTGAATGCAGGAAAATCGGGATCTGGGCGAACGGTTAGTTTAAAAAAATGTCCAGATGACATTTTGATCCACTGTTCACATTAATGAGCAAATGAAGGCCTACAAAAGCTTAGATTCTTACGAATATTTCGAAAATGGCTTTATTTCAGATGCAGGAACAGTGGTAGTGAAAATTTTTCACGTTTTAATTGGAAAATTTTAAAACAAAGGGCAATGAAAAAAGCCTGACATCATCCTTGTTACCTTGTTGAAACTACTTCCACAATCAACTTCAAGACCCGTTTGTGGCATTTTTAATTGGAAGAAACACTAATGAAGTCAATAAAATACAAAAATGAACAGAGTTCATTCACAAAACAACCACAAAATGCACTTTAAAAAGCTTTAAATTACATACTCTCATATACGGGATAATGAAGTTCCGCCACAACGCACTTTTTGACAGGTCGTTGGAATGCCTAAGGGCGAATTCTCATGAGCGTAATTTGACATTTTTGGCGTAATCACATGATAATATGGTGAAATTTGATTGGTAAAATATCCAACATGTCAAATATGTCTCCAATAAAACCCAACCATTTTATCACGTGATTACGCCAAAAATGTCAACTTACGCTCATGAGAATTCGCCCTAATTCTAAACGATCTGAGCACAGTTCTATGGACTAAATATAGCTTTTTTCAAACCCGTGCAAATTATTTTTGAAATTTGTGATAGCCGAGCCGTTGTCATTTTGTTGTCGGTTACACTGGGCAATTGTTCTGAAGCGTCCCAGAAACCGTCCTTTTTTTAAACCCGAACAGGTTATGTTTTTTTTTTCACCCTTTCGAGCCCATGCTCTGCACTGAAGCTCATTGTGGAAAGTCTACTCCTTCCCATTTATACTTAGAGTCTAAATGGTCGGCCCTTATCATGCATCCCTCTCGGCATCCCACACCCTAATATGGTCTGATTCGCAATCTATGGTCGGCCATTCAGAATCCACCGACATCACGCAAGCCTGAGAAAGTCCCTTCATATCCTCTCGCCAAGCTAACGAGCCGGTTAAACACCACAAACAACAAGCAACCATGCCCTAGCCGGGATTCTAACACGGAACCCGCGAAGCAATACATTAACTACTACACTGCCTAGGTCGGCTTGCAGGTTATGTTTTTGTGTTATTTGAGAGTTGCCGACAATTGTAGGTTGCATTAAAATAGTATAGTACTCAAAATATTCCATAAGAAACTTGAAAATAATAGGTAATA